ATGTCAGGATGGCAGTCGGTTTCTAGTGGAGTGCCCCAAGGTTCGGTTCTTGGACCGGTTTTGTTCAATATCTTTATTAATGGTCTGGATGAGGGGATGGATTGCACCCTCAGCAAGTTTGCGGCTGACACTAAGCTGGGGGGAGAGGTAGATACGCTTAAGGGTAGAGATAGGGTACAGAATGACTTAGACAAATTGGCGGATTGGGCCACAAGAAATCTGATGAGGTTCAACAAGGACAAGTGTAGAGTCTTGCACTTGGGACGGAAGAATCCCAAGCATAGTTACAGGCTGGGGACCAACCAGTTAAGTAGTAGTTCTGCCGAAAAGGACTTGGGGGTTACAGTGGATGAGAAGCTGGATATGAGTCAACAGTGTGCCCTTGTAGCCAAGAAGGCTAATGGCATATTAGGTTGCATTAAGAGGAGCATTGCCAGCAGATCCAGAGATGTCATCATTCCCCTTTATTCGGCTTTGGTGAGGCCGCATCTGGAGTATTGTGTCCAGTTCTGGGCCCCCCACTACAAAAAGGATGTGGACGCATTGGAGAGGGTCCAGCGGAGGGCAACCAAAATGATTAGGGGGCTGGAGCATATGACTTATGAGGAGAGGCTGAGGGACTTGGGTCTGTTTACTCTGCAGAAGCGAAGAGTGAGGGGGGATTTGATAGCAGCCTTCAACTTCCTGAAGGGAGGTTTCAAAGAGGATGGGAGAAAGGCTGTTCTCAGTAGTGACAGATGGCAGAACAAGGAGCAATGGTCTCAAGTTGTGGTGGGAGAGGTCCAGGTTGGATATTAGGAAAAACTATTTCACTAGGAGGGTGGTGAAGCACTGGAATGGGTTACCTAGGGAAGTAGTGGAGTCTCCATCCCTAGAGGTGTTTAAGTCTCGGCTTGACAAAGCCCTGGCCGGGTTGATTTAGTTGGAATTGGTCCTGCCTAGAGCAGGGGGCTGGACTTGATGACCTCCTGAGGTCTCTTCCAGTTCTATGATTCTATGATCACTGAAATATTGTACACTGAGCATTCCTTCCTCTGAAACATTTGGTATTGGCCACTGCAGCAGACAGGTTATAGACTTGATGGACTACTGGTCAGATACAATATACAGGCAGTCCCCGGGTTACATGGATCCGACTTACATCGGATCCCTACTTACAAACGGGGTGAGGCAACCCCACACTAGCTGCTTCCCTTCAGCAGACCAGGGAGACGCGAAGCTAGCGCCCCGCCCCCCGCAGACCAGGGAGACGCAGAGCGGCTTTTCTCAGCAGACACCTCAGCTTGAGAATAAAGGACTGAGGGAAGTGAGGTGTGGGAGAATAAAACTGAGCTCTGGAGAAATGTTTGGCTAGACTTTCCCCTACAATATGTACCAGTTCCGACTTACATACAAATTCAACTTAAGAACAAACCTACAGTCCCTATCTTGTACGTAACCCGGGGACTGCCTGTAGTAACTCCTGTTTTCCTACTTTCTTAACATTAGAGAAGTTTTAATTTTAATAATTCTAAGAAAA